TAATCAGGTGAGAATGTGATGTAACAGATACTTGCTGAACCTCATTTAAAAGATTATATATGAACGTCATGTAGTTTTCAAACATTTCTTCTTTCTCTGAAATCAGAGCAGGGGAAGTCTTCTTCTTTTTTTTTCCGGGTCGTAGAAATTGAATATCATAGCGGAATCCTTCCCTATGTGTCAGCGCAAGATTCAAATCCTACTGTAGATACGGAGATATATTGGCCAGAGTTCGTTTTACTTGAAAGGAAAACAGATACCGGCCCAAATCACCAACTACTTTGCATCAACTCTAGCATTGCTTTTCGAGAATTGGTTGCAATGCTTGGGTTTTAGCCGCGTACCTTTCCACTTCAATATAGGCTATCAAAGAAATGACTTCACATTCATAGCCTTTCAGACTTTTTTTAAAAACCAATTCAAAGTCTTTTTCGAAAAAAGTAGCACACCCTCATGTGGACCTCAATTATGCTATGCGTCTTCTGCAAAATTGTCTTAGTACTACGTAGAATTTAAAATAAGATTAAAGCATTACATTTTTGAAGTAAAAGAATTTTTCTATACCGTATGTCTGCTTTCATGGTTTTCTGGAATTTAATTTACCATTCTTGGTGATAATCGCGATCTTTATTGAAGTATTTAGATGTGTGATGACTGTCGACGAGCTGAAGCAAAAGACTTTTGGCGCGCATGCGTGCAGGTCCGGCAAAAAGCCGAATTCAAAAAAACGTTGTTTTACCTCGAGCAACTCCTTCTCAAGCATGGGGTGAGTTTCGAGTCTTAAGAATTTCATACTTCTCGAATAATCGTGTTTAGGCTCATAACCAATGTACAGGAGTGAAGCCAGTACCAACTGGCATTGACTTCTTCTTTGCAAAACTGCAAGAAGCGCGAAAGTTCGTTGACTTTTTACTCACCGTGTTACCTTGTAAATATCATTATGCTCAGGTGAGTCCTATCTCTCATTATTGAGATTAAAAATTTTCTTATTCTTTGCAGGAACTTGTTTCACATGACACCAAAAACAACACCTACGATTACAAACATACATTCTGCGTTGAGATTGTTCCTATTTGCAGGTTGGTGGAGTTCAAAATCTTGTTAATAATTTCCGTTTGAACATCTTGATGGTTTAGGGACAATATTGTTTGTATGCCAAAGAAGGTAGCTCAGCAACTAGGTAATATGAGTCAGATCGTGATTTGCCTTCGAGTTTCTAATGTGATCACTCTCATTGATCCAAACAACCTACAGATGGCCGACATTCAAGCGTAAGCAATGCTTCGCAGATGGCATTTCATTCTTGGTATTTCTCTTTTCAGTACAACATTTTGGCGAGAACCATTCGAGTCCTTGTGTACGCCAAAGCAGCTCTCCGAGTTTTATGTGCTGGATGTCGAAATGGTAGACAACTTTGAAAGAAAGGTCAGAAAAACTTCCCACCTCATCTGCAGCTCTCTAACCTTTCTATTTTGTTGCAGGCTGGCCATGGTTTCGTCAGCAAAAAACATGTGCTTGCAGACGTTTGGCTTGTGCGAAGCCATCAGGTTTGTTGTAAACGTTCAAAAAATGCTTCTCGCATGATTCTTTGCATACTTGCCTTCCCAATGCGTGATGGGGCTTCATAGAACGGTTTTCTATGAACTTGCCCTTATGTTGTCGCCTTATTTTTCACCATCGATTTTTCTTTAGGACAGATTGTTCAATCCTTCTTAAAAGTCATTTTCTATTTACCATCAGTAATGGTCTAGGTGGGTATGTCTGACGCCCAAACGCTTTCAACGAGGACCCATCTAGGGCATTTATTAAATCCGGGAGATTTAGTACTAGGTAATTTCAAAGATATTCAAAGCTGAATAAAAACATAATCAT